CGCCTTGTGATGGGTGCAGAGAACCCCCTCCTAGGCACCTCACTTTCCAGGTCCTTCTCCCCTCCTTAGTACCTCTCCTTTCCCCGGTTCCTCCCCACCCAGACCACTCTTCATCCCCCCCTCCTCTGGGCCCTTCCCTAACCCCACCCTGGGGTGTAGAGTGATAGTCACACAGAAACCTGGGAGAATCGATGGGACTGTAATTGGGGCTTGGGAGAGGTTTAATATTTAACTGGATTAAATATTTAAATAGAACAATCTGACAGGGAGCTCAGCGACGGTGGCAGGTGACGGCAGGGCAGTCCAAGGCTACAGATGCCCCCCCAAAGGATGTGGCCCGCCTTCCAGGCACTTAGCAGGTGTGGGGGGCTCCTCTTGGGGTGGCTGGGTCCTGACAGCCCAACAGGGGGGCTTCAACTCATCTCTGGTGCTGCTAGGTGGGCCAGCTGCCAGAACTGTGCATTGTCCCTGGCTAACTCCTGACTTGGAGCCCCGCACTGACTCACAGGGGCCCACGTGGGAGCCGAGTGGGGAGGTATAGGTGTCATTTTGGGGACTGTTGACATTCCTCAGGCTTCAAGGCAGTGGGCTGTGCCCTCCTTAAGAAAAAGGTCCCTACAGGCCTCACCGTTTTCTTCCTTCTGTCACTCCTCCTTCCAAACCAGGACATCTGTTTCTCTGGCCCCTGGTAGGAACAGCTTCTCCTCCCAGGTCCCCAGAAGCATCACGGAAGGACCATACATCTGGGAAAGATTGGGCGGGGCATCCAAGCCCTGCAACCTCCTGGCCTCCTGGTCCCTCTATGACCAGTGGTGGCCGCAACCTACAGGACTTGGCGCACCCGGGGCGGGGGGTGGAGCAACTGTCAGTCCCTGGGCTCTCAGCAGAGCCTCTCCCTCCTGGGGCCTCCTCATTCTGTTGTCCATCCCTGAACGGGCCAGGAAACTGCCCTGGTCCTCTGCAGGGCTTGATGCACCACGCCCCATCCCCCCTCTGTCTAGTGACAGGGTTCTGAGACTGTGGGGCTCCGAGGTGTTTGCTGGGGTCACTCTGGGTGGCAGCTCCCCCCACACAGAGAGTCTCACTTGGCTGGCTGTGTTGGGCCTGGGGAATGTCAGCTCAGTGTGGAGGAAGTAAGCACGCACCAGCCCTCCTGACATCTTGCAGACCCCAGGAACCTGGAGAGACAGCCCATACCCTGGGCCAGGCCCATGGCTGCTTTCTCAGGCTGCCCTGGGTCTGGGGGTCCTGGGCTGAGCCCCAGGACATGACCAGGGCTGGGAGATTAACAGGATAGGAGAGAAGTTAAGACAGGAAGCCTGACCCTGGCGTATGCTAGGGCAGGCGGTCCATCTCCTGCCGGGGGGTCCTGTGAACCCTGTTGTGTCAAGTCTCCTTCAGGCCAGTGGGAGAGAGGTCAGGTGGACCTGCTGCCTGTGTGACCTGGGCAGGTGACTTCACCCTCTGAGCCTTGATTTCCTCACCTGGAAAAGGGGTTTAATAGTTGTTCCTGTGCAAAGAGTGGCCATGGATCCCAGCTAGCACCTGTACACAGTTGCTTTGCTAATTCTGAGTGTGTTCTCTGCAGAGGGCAGCATAGACAGAGGGCAGCTGGACAGAGCCAGAAGGTGGAAAGCCTGGATGCTGGGGGTCTTCTGTGACCTGGAAAGCAGCTACATAGCTGGGAAGAGGCCTGACCCAGATTCCTGAAGCTGCTAGTCTCCGGCAGGAAGACAGTTGCTCACTGCCCTTTGGCTGGCTCTGTACGATGAGGCCTTTTATGGAATCCCTGCCCTGATTCTGGCTCTGGCCTTCCCTGAAGAGGCTGGCCTGGGGGTCTGGCCCTCAGGCTGCCCAGAAGCTACAGGGAAGGAGGGACAGAGGTAGGCTGCCTAACTCCATCAGTTCTCTGGGCGGCAGTCCAGGCAACCCTGGGTTTGGGTCCTATCCAGAGGGGACCCGGTCAGGCCTGGGACAAGGCCAAGGCAGCTGACCCACCGAAGTTGGAGGAGGGACTGGGGCAGGGCATCAGATAAGGCCAGCATGGTAACAAGTAGGTGCCCATGGTGCTGGAGTGCGGTCTCCCCAAGGACAGGGCTGGGCTGCTCTGATTGCTAATAGGCATGGATGGATGCACGGTGGACGGAGGGGTGGGTAGGTGGATGGACAGATGCATGGATGGAAAGATGGGTAGATGGGAGGAGGGGCGGAGGGAGGGAAGGATGAGTGGAAGGCGGATGATGGCTGTCTGGGTGAGCAAATCCTCACCGCTCCAGCTGCAGTTCCCACAGGGAGCACTGCCAGTGGTGCATTTAGACAGCCGGTGAGGGCTAGCAGGACCTCCAGACAACCACAAGCTTCCCCTGAGCACCGCCCTAGGTGTCCCTCTAGTGGGTCAGTCCTACCCCTAGGGATTCGGGGACCAGACAGGAGAAGCCTGGGCGCAATGGCCTGCACATGGGAAGTGTGGTGGGGACCTCTACTTCTGTTCGGCAGGGCTGCCACCCTCTTCAATCTTGGCCTCCCTCCCTCTGTCTGCTGACAGATGCAGTCCTGGGAGGGGAAGGACCCAGATGACATGGGCCCCGCCGTCGTTCAAACTTCCTTGGGATTTGTATGAAACAGCAAGTACAAGGCCGGTTTGGCTGGGGTGAGAGGCCAGGCCAGGCCAGTGACCGGGCCACAGGCAGGGCAGGTGCCCACCCAGTGGACTGCAGCTTGGGCTTCTTCAGTGGACCCTGGTCCCCAGGGGCAGGCAGGCTGGTGGGTAGATGGCGATGCTTGGCCAGCTCCACAGCAGGGCTTAGAGCAGCCATGAGGTCCCATCAGTGAACCAGCATGAGGTAAGCAACAGAATGTGTTAACTCTGTGGGCCCCCACACTCAGCGGGGACATGTGCGGCTGTCCAGGAGCCAAAGCCCCACTCTGAGCCTCTTCCCACCTCTGCTGGACCTGAAGGGACAAGCCTGCTGCTAATCTGGTAGTTTCTGCAGCAGCAGCAGCTCCCCCACCCCCGGGCCAGGCGCTTAATGAACTGTTTGATCTCATGGTGCTCTTTGATCAAACTGAGGAAATAAATCTTGGAATTAAGCAAGTGTCTCAGACACGGTGCATTGGCTCCGCGCCACGGGTGGCCTAGCCAGACCAAGGGGATCCACTCTGGTGGGTGCCCAGGCTGGGGGCTGGAGGCGGTACGCAATGCCAGTGGGCTCAGGTTTTATTCTCTTGTGACAAGAAGGGGCGAATAGAGTGTCGAGGGCTGACACTTTTCTCTGAGCCATTCCAGGCCCTGCGGGGTATACTGTATGGGGTATTGAGGCTCGGGCATGTGCAGTACTAGATCTTTCAAGGCTTAGATGTATGTGCCAGACTCAGGACAGGGGACCCTCAGCCACTGAATCCACCCTGCCAGGGTTGAGCTATTACAGAAGTGAGTTTGGACTCCCCGTCCCCCAACCTCAGACATATTAAAATCATCCCCAAGCCTGCCCGCTGGCCCAGAGTGGAGACTAGAGTCAGGATCCAGAAGAACACGAGGGGTAGGAAAGCTGTGGAGGCCCATCCCCTCACCGTGGCCCCACTAGCCTCCAGCTCCGTCCAGTGAAGCCTTGGTCCTATCTGTGGCAGGAGGATGACCTCCACTCCTGGTCCTAGGGCTGTAGCTGGCACGTCCATCCACAGCTGGGTTCCTGTAGTGTCCGTGACAAATGGCCATGAGCCGCATGGGCTCAATGAGCAGAGATGTACTCTCCCCATCCTCAGAAGCCGGAGGTCCCGTACAGAGTTGTGGGCGGGGATGGCATCCCCAAGAGGCGTTAGGGGGTTGGGGAAGGTCCTTCCTGCCTCTCCCAGCTTCTGGTGGCTCCAGGTATCCCTGAACTTGTGGCCACGAGTCCCATCTCTGACCCTGTCATCACATGCCATCATCCCTCTGTCTGTGTCTTCTTCTGTCCCTTCTGAGGACACTGTCATTGGATTTAGGGCCCACTCAGGTAATCCACATGATGATCCAGGATTATCCTATCCTAAGATCCTTAATTTAATTACATCTGTGACCTTTCCTAAGAAGGTCACACTTCCAGGCCCTAGGTCAGAATGTGCCTGCGTCTGTCTTGGGGCCACCATTCAGCCCACCCTGTGCTTCATTGGAAAATGTGGAGTCTCCAGCAGCACAAGAGGCTTCAGACCTGGGATTGCTGTCTAATGGGTGATTACAGTGGGCAGTGGACACTAAACTCAGTGACCACTCAGTCACTTGCAGTGGGGTGAGAGAAAGGAGAGCAATTACATGGCTTCCGGAGAGACCGGGAGATCTTTCTCCTTGATTTTCAATCTTATCATTTCTGAAATGTCATTTAATTAACTTTTTTATCTTTAGCAAATCTATGTCATAGCACATGTAAGCTGGTGACCACAGAGGGACATGTGTATACAATACAATCTCCCTTTGCTCACACCAGCAAACTGACCAGTTGATGGTTCTTTCTGGAAAGAATGTTCTTCCTGGGGATCAAACAAACTCTATTCAGTCTTAAAATTCCCATGAAACCTTTGCCGTTGAAGTCTGGCTTTTCACTGCGTGCAGTTGTTTCTCTACAGAAATGAAGGCACTGGAGAAAAGTATGAGACAAAAAGTGGCTTCTGTTCCTGGGTTGGGGCTAAGTGAAGTGCTGGATACCAGGGGCCTCCAAGGGAGGTACTGGCCAAGTGACAAGTGCTCATTTGACTTGTTATTGTTCTGGAGGTGTTAGGGGCCAGGTGGGGGTTCTGCTTGATGGTTAGGCTGCTGCTCAGGGGGGTCCTGGGCTGAGTTCAAGCCAGTTCTGGGGGGCAGCCAAGACACTGCACCTTGGACGGAGAAGGCTTGATGGCTATACTATGTCCCGAGGAGCTACAGAGATGCCAGCCTAGTGTCTGTGTCTGCCTGCCCCTCCTACTTGAGCCCTTGCTGCACCCATCCGCACATTCCACACTGTTCTGTGGACAGAGCTGTGGTGGTGGTGGTGTCTCCAGGGAAACAGCCATGGTGACAAGCTCATGGCACTGTGGTGAGGACCTCCTGACACCATCCAGGGGCAGCAGACTGGCCCAAGTGAGGTTGGCCCAGTACCTTGTGCCCAGAGTCCATGGTGGGCCAGGGCAAGACGGGTGGGTGGGGGCTGGAGGAGGCAGGCAGAGGCCCTCAACTTACAGCCTCTCACCCCAGGCCTCTGGAGTCCTGCTGGGTGGATGAAGGCCCCCATGTCAGCTCGATGGTATGGTGTTGCTGAGACCTCTACTTTTCAGGAGGAGCCTGAGTGCAGCAGCCCTGCAGAAGGGTCCCTGAGTGTGAAGGTGTGGCTCCACTGAGTCCCCTGCCTGGCAACGTGGCCCGGAGAAGGTCGCATACACCCAAGGGATCCCAACCTGGCTATATCTCACATCCATCTGCAAACATCGCCCACCCAGGCCACACCCCTCACCAGTCACGCTTGATTTCAGTATCTTTAAAGGGGACCACTATGGGTTTTAAGGGTAAGAAACCGAGGCCAAAGTGCATAAAAGGCTGGTTCTGGGTGTGTCACCCTAGGCTCCTTGAGAACTGCCAATGACTCCCACAGGGTGCCCAGGAAGGTACCTGAGATCTGTCCCCAACCCCACTCTTCAGCCAGGTCCACGGGGAACAGATGCACCACCAACAGCACAGCCTGGGCCTGGGCTCTGGCTGTCCTGGATACATGAGGGCTGAGGCTTGGGCAAGAAAGACAGAGAGGCTGCAGAGGTGGCCATGACCACTCCCCTTCTGACTCTGCAGGTGGGCCAGGGTGAGAACTCCCCACTCTCCTGGCCCAACCCACTGAATCCCAAAGGCAAGAAGGTGTTGGGGCATTTCAGGGGTGCCAGGGAGGACCAGGGCCTGGACACAGAGGCCCATCCAACACCTGCGGCTCCTCACCGCGCCATCTTGCTTTGGCCTACTCTGCTTGAGTTGGGGAGAGCCTACGGTGGTCTCTACTGGGCCCAGCGAGTGGCACTGGGAGGGGCCACAGTGAGGCTTAGTCCTCTGACCCTTGGGAGGACTCAGAGATTTCACTGGCATGTTTCTCAGAGGAGTCTGGGGCATTGTTTGGCAGGTGTGAGGCCCACCTTGGAGAATGTGGCCCCTCCATTCTGTAGCCTGCTGCGACTAACCTGCTACCCTCTTAATTACCAAGCAAGGGACTGATCTCCCTGATTTACAAACTGCCCAGGTCCCCGGGGGGTTCAGGCCCCCAGGAAAGAGGGCGCTTCTGAAAATTCCACATGCTTGGGCTGCATGCCACGTCCCCTGGGAACAGTCTTCCCGTGTTGTCCTCCAGAATGGCCCACAAAACAGAAAGGAGGCTCCTGCGGGCTGTCACCTCAGAGAGAGCATTACCTGTGCTTGCCCTGCCCCCCTGCAGCAGAGAGCCGAGACAGAGTCATGTTCCCCCACAGCCACGCCTGTCTGTCCGGAACCAGAAGGAAACTCCGGATACCACAGCTGAGCCTGACCACCCCATGCAAAGTAGACCTTAAGGAAGAGGTGAGACGAGCCTCCTGTTCGAGAGGGTGCAGCACACACGTCCTCAGTCCAGAGGAGTTTGCCAAGTGGTCTTCCTTCAACTCTCTGCATCCTCCTGCTCTTGATCACAGTCCTGTGACTTGTCACTGGTTTATTCCTGTGCCCGACGTATCTCCAGACTGGAGACCTCCCGACTGGAGGGTAGGGCAGCCTAGGGGGGCTGAACAAGAAGGGTGGGGACCAGACGGGGTGGGGAGGCTGTGGAGGTGAGCAAGGCAAGTGGTGCCCCAAGCCATGAGTCCTGAGGTGAAGAGAGGCACTTTTCTTCCCAGAGCCTCTGGGATCGGTGAGACAGGTCTGATCTGCGTCTGGCTTCTGGCCCTGGCTCAGTGTTGTGACTGCAGGGGACCTTCATCATCAGCTGACAGTGGGGTCACGTCCTGGAGCTCAGATAGCTGGGAGCCCCCACCCCCGCTGGGATGATGCCATCGTCTTTAATTGAGAGCCTCACACTTGACCAGGTGAGCCTCAGATCATCACGAGTGGAAGGCGTGTCATTCCTGGTCTAAAATTGTATTTCCTCTTCTCAAAAAGCTGTTCAAGCTCTGTGGACCAACAGCTATGTGATCTTGGGCAAGCACAACCTCTCTGTACCTCAGCTTCTCATCTAAGGATGGCAAAGGAACCTTAGCTCCAGGAGTATTTGGAGGCCTGAAGCCAGGGGCTCTGGGTAAGGCAGGGTCCCCTTTTTATTTCTTCTTCTTCTTCTTTTTAGGTCAGATGCTCTAGGCTTCAGGATGTTGCCCACATGAGATTGGCCTGCAATGCCCCCACCTGCTTAGGCCCACTGGGCAGGGTTCACTTCCCCTCCTCCATCAGGGCATTCAGCCTGAAGCCTACCTAAGGGACAAGACTGGAGCCTGATCAAGGGGGCCACTGGAGTGTCTTGCGCACTCTGCCTCCAGCTGGCCTGATGAGCAGGAGCCCATGGGCAGGAGGTGCTGAGCGGAGGCCAGGACAGCTGCGTGGGCGAAGGGGCTCAGGCGCAGGCAGGGGGTTGCCAGGCAACCGCCACGCGCATCCGGCTTGTCTCCCGCACTGTGGGGTGGATAAGCCCCAGGTTCCAATATTTATACTTTGCCGCTTGCCAAGGCACTGCTTTTGCTCTGAATGGGGGGAGGGGGGTCTGCCCAGCCCTGCTTTCTTTACAGTGGTCAGGGAGCCCTCACCCGGGAATGGGAGGCAGGGGCTACAGCCAGGGCCAGAGTTCCCCTGGGGAGAGCAGAGCCTGCTGGTCACCAAGTTCTGCTCTCAGAAAGGGGACAAAGTTCTCTGAGCAGCTGCCCGTGGCTTAGAGAAGATGTGATGGTGGAATTCCAGGCACAGGGTGGGGACAAGACAGGGTCTTCCTTTTGGACCCAAAATAACACCAGGGACAAAGTGAGAAGACCCAGCCAGGATCCAGCCTCTTCTGTACCACCTAATCTGAGGCCAGCCTCAGTGAACTGCCCTACATAGTGCTCTGAGCTCCACTCTGCAGTGGGGAACCTCTCCCTAGGTCTCAGTTTTCCCAGAAGTGCAAAGGGGATCTTGGGTGGCTCGGTGATCCCCAACAATTCTGGGTGACCCACAGCCCGGGGCCCCTGCAGGCTCCAGGAAAATCACCCCTCGTCCAACAGCCCTCACCACCCTGGGCACACTACCTGAGGCCTCCTGGCGGAGAGCATCAGGGTCTTTAGCCAGTGTGAGAGGCACAGGATAGGGACACAGCAGGCCAAGCTCCACCCTGCTCATCCCTCAGGGAACAACCCACACCTGGCCAGATGAACTCGACCATCAGCTGTGCTCACTGGGGACTGGACAGCACCTTTTCGGTCTCTTCTCCCCAACTTGGGAAGGTCGGTCCTCCATGCACTTCCTGACCACATCAGGAAGCACTGAGGACCCTCACGGGGTGGAGTTAGGCCTATGGCCCTGGCCTTCCCTGGAGACGCCTCCATCCACTGCCACAGGCAACACCAAGCCTTTATCTTCTCACCAACTCCTTCCAAAGGGCTGTGGGTGTGGGCCTCTGCCCCGTCTCCGCTGAGATGTGCCCTCAGTCCTCGGCTGTCTGTGCTCTGGTGACGCGTGGGCAGGAGAGCCCCACTCCGCATCCTCCTGTGAACCAGGCACTAGCTAGCCTGGGGGAGAAGCCGAGTAGAGGGAAATAGGGGGCAGACAGGTAGGAGGGGATTCTTGGGGGGACCTGGTCTTGAAAGAGGTCAGAGGATGGGAATCCCTTGTCCCCAGGAGGCTCTGATTTCTAGCACTGGGGATGGGGTCCCCACGCCCTGCTGGGGGCTGTCAGCAAAGATCTGTTCCACTGAGGAGCAGCCTACACAGCAATTTCTGGTCTGATATTATTTCTCTTCCTACCTGACTGTTAAAGCTCCTGCTTTGACCACTCCTCCCCAAATAAATTTTAAATTCTGATGCTCCAGCAGAAATTCACTCTCAGGGTGGAGGCTAGAGCCAAGCTTTTCCCCCAGCCTTGCATCTTGTGCTGGAGGAATTTAAACTTGAACTCAGACCTGTCCTAGGGGGCTCTGCAGCGCTGTCTCCCCTACTGGCTTTCTCCAGCTCCACAGTCTAGCCTGGCCCCAATCAGATGGACCCCAGGAGGATGTCCTGGGGACTGTGGACAGATGGGGACACGGCTGTCTTGGTGAAGGCAGGCAGGGGAGAAGGGATGTCCCCTGAGAGGGCTGAGCGGTGCTGCTGTGCCCAGAAGGAGTCCTGGCCTTAGTCATGGGCCTGGCTTAGGCACTAGGGAAGGAACTTTACCAGCATGGAGAACCCGGTGGTCAGGGGTTCTTCAGGGAACTTCTCAGCCAGTATGTTGGGGACTCAGTGTCTTGCAGGACACGCCCAGGATCTGGTGTCCATTTGAGAGGGATCAGGGGCAGCTCTACAGGTCCCTCCGGGGCCAGTGCTGTGCTTAGGTCTGGAACAGGATCAGCAGGCTGGGCAGGGCTTAGTCCCGGCTCTTCTCTCAGAATTACAGATGCTCTGGATGGCCATCCCTGAGTCGGGTGGAGAATGTCCCCCAGTGGAATGGGAGTGGATCAGCTCCATCTCTCCCTCCACATATCCCATGTTCTACTGGCTTAGGGCAGCTAAGAACCCCAGGCCCCCTCGAAGGCCCTAAGGTTTCTGAGGGGTCTTAACAGGAGAGCCCCCACCCTGTGTTATTGCCCCAGTAAATATGCCGGGCACAGTAAATGTGTGGCACAGCGCCCACTAGTGGAGGAGTGGTACACATGCAGTTTCACACTTGCTCACTGTGCAGTAGATCCAGACTTTCCTCTTTACTGGAGGAAGGCCTATGGGTAGACTCTAAGTGCAGGTTGGTCCCACGCACTGACAGAACTTCAGGATGGGAAGAGGCTGTCCAGGACCCACCCCTGCCACCATCCTCAGGGGATCCCTGAATCCTGAGGAGCTGCAGCTCATAACCTAACCTGTGGGCAGCAGGAGCTGAACCTTCCGCACCCACCTCCTCCCAGCAGGTGGCGGTGGCCCTGACTGTCACATAGACATGTCCTACCGTAGGCTGGGAGCCCACAGCCCCTTCCCTCCTGGGTCTCCCGGCTTCTAATCCCAGCAACTGTGCCCCTCTAGAACCGATTTCCCTGGCCACTTCCCAAAGCATTCTGGATCTGGCCGTGGGGCCTTCAGGGCCCAAGGAGGGGTCAGCTGGCAGCATCTTTGCTGACCTGTGGCTCTCCTATCAACTGGGGACAATCATCTCACAGTGAATCCTCTCACCCGTCATTAGAGTTTAAAAATAACAATTTATCATGGACTCCAAAGGTCAAAGTTCAGGGGAGAATGCTACAGGCTTGATTAAGAATCAATGTGATGGGGCTGGGGAATTAGCTCAGTGGTTCCTCCGCCACCTGCCTCACAAGTATAAGGTCCCAAGTTCAATCCCTGGTACGACCAAAAAAAAAAATCAATGTGGTGGCCCACGCCTATAATACCAGCGCTCGGGAGGCTGAGGCAGGAGGATTGCCAGGAGTTTGAGCCCAGGCTGGGCTACACAGTGAATTCAAGGCCAGCCTGGGATACATAGAGAGACCCTCTGTCTCTCTCAAAAAAAAAGTCAGTGGTTACATAAAAGGCACATCTTTGGTGAAGGGCTGGGATGCTGCCCCGGTTGTGGGTAGTAACTCCCTCCCAGAGGGCAGGCTCCTCTCCTTAGACACCTGTCCACTTTGGGGGCCAGGAGCCCTGGGAAGGTTGCTGTGGCTGCTCCAAATGTGTGGAGTCTTGTCCCCCCATCCCTTATGACGATTCACTCTTTGGGTAACTGGCGCCATTGCTCTCCAGGCTGGCTCCGCGGCTTCCATGGGCAAGGCTCAGCTTTCTATGGCCCACTGAAATGCATACAGAGAGCGAGTTTGGAGACAAAAGAATTTCAGTCTGTAGGCAGAGAAGCTGGGGTGTAGGGATACTTGATCTCAGATCTGGGAATGCTCGTCCCTTGAAAGGACCCTTGCCTAAAGACAGTTTGCAATCATGAGGCAGGGGGGCCCGTGGGAGAGGGGAAGTGAATGAGCAGGCCCCCCACAGCTCCAGGGCACCCCAAAGTATGGCTTGCCTCCCTCTTCTACTTCCAAAGCCTGGCTCCCAGCCTTCCACCAAGATGGAGATGGGAGAAGGTCCCATTGTCATAGAAACAGGCTGTATTCCCAGAGCACGCCGTGGCCATCTTCTTCCCTTGCTGCCCTGGGATCAGGGTAGTGGGAGAGGCAGCCTCTCCCGGATTTGTTCATGGGATACGGAGGGTCAGTTCTGGCTTACAGACCTCCCCTGCCAGTGCGATCGCATAGAAATCAGTCTTCAGGTCCTGTACCTCCCTGAACCCATCTCCTATGCCCCCGTCATGTGCCACATAGCCAGTGGCGCCCCCCCTGGCCAGTCATGGCTAGTCACGACCTGTGTCATTCCTGAGCCACTGTGAGCCCCAGGAGCTGGTGGAGGCAGGAAGGACCTTTCCCTGGAGCGCTTCTGAAGAATGGTTCCACATACCCCTTCAGACCCTGTGTTTAGTAGCAAACTCCTATTGTCCTAAAGCGTATGGGGCTTGGCGAGGACAGCTCTGAGAACCAGAGAGCCCAGAACATTAAGGTGCACAGATAGCGCTATGTAGCGTCTTCCTCAGTTCTGGCTGTTTCTGTTGATCTGCACAGACAGAGGAAGCTGTTATCTGGGTGACCTCCTGGCCACCTCCACCTGGGGACTTCTGTCTCTCATGGCCATGTACCCCAGGACCTCAGGGCCAGCGAGCAGTTCTCCTTTGTCTGTGACTTCAAGCTGGTGGAGCTGGCTGGCCCACGGGGCTCTCAATGGCCAGGGCTCCACAAGCCAGGCTGGGACGGCAGCTCTTCCAGCCTTGCGGGGCCCCAGTGCCCACTCTCTGCCAGCCAGTGGTGGCCCCTCCAAGCCTGTAGAAGTAGTTACCGTGATCCCGGGAGGAGAGAGGCTGGGTGGATTGCTGTCACCAGCAGTCCTTGAAGGACTCTGCCTGGTCAGTCCCAGGCTGTGCCACACCTCTGGGGCCACCCAAGGTGGGAGACAGAGGTGGGAGCGGGCCTGACGCAGGTGGGGGCCATGGGAGGGCCGAAGGTCTGTGGAACCTGGCCCGTCCTTCCAGGCAGAATCTGTGGCA